AGAAGGTAATCCTTGCAACGGCAGCGGAAAAAATCTGTAAGAGAAAGAAATATCAGACAATTATATAACATAACGAAGAAACTGGTAGGGAAATATAGTAAACCAGAGAGACCAGTCAAGGACAAAGAACGAACCAGTCGCTAAGATCCAATAACAGCGGAAAAGATGGGTACAATTTTTCAAAAAACCCTTGAATATACCAGCTTCATTGAGTCCACCGGACTGTGAAACATCACACACAGACCTCCCCATATATGTCACTCCACCAACAATCAAAGAGAGCAGGAAAGAAAAATCAAGAGCGGAAAACAAACACACCTGACAACATATAAGCCGAAGCACTGAAATCAGGTATATAAATAAACACAAAGATGTTAAACGTTCTATTCAGGAAGAATTAAGAAGAAGAATAAATTCCAACAAATTGGAAAGAAAGACAATTCAACAAGATACCAAAGAAGGAGATTCGAGTAAATATGAGAATTACACAGGAATCATACTATAGTCAGTACCAGCAAAGGTTTTCAACAGAATGTTGCTGAACCGGATTAAAGAATCAGTAGACACCTAGCTAGGAGGTCAACAAACCAGATTCCGTAAAGATCATTTGTGCACAGACCACACCACGGATTATCGTTATAAAGTCAGTCAAATGGAACTAGTCACTATACATCGAATCCCTTGACTATGAGAAATCGTTTGACATTCTGGGTAAGAAAACATTATGGAACCTTCTTCACCATTACGGTGTATCTGAGAAAATCGTCAACATCATACGGAATTCATATGATGAATGGACTACAGCGCAAAGTCGTTTATGGAGGACAGCTGACGGACGCATTCAAAGTAAGGGCCGGAGTCAGACAAAGCTGCCGACTCTCCCCCTTCCTCTTCCTTCTGGTGGTTGGCTAGATTATGAAAATGCGAAAAGACGTTGGAAATGGATACAATATACACTACGGAAACCATCAAACTGCATCACGAGGCAAGTCACAATTTGGAATCCTGAAGAGAAACAAAAAAGAGGAAGGCAAAAAACACTGCTTCGTGAATTGGAAGCAGATATTAAAAGGATGATTAGCTAGTGTAAATAACTGGGAAGGACTGCTCATGGCAGTTGTGTGGAAGATGCTGGTGGTCGGTGTATGTTCCTCCATGGGGGAAACAGGCGTAAGTAAGTATAAAAGAAAAGGACTTGTTCTGATTTCTCCGGGAGAAAGAAGTAGCTTTAAGTCTAGTGCAGAAAGCGATGCCAAATAAAAATCGACCAGTAAGAAAAGTAGTGTTGAGGTCGAGAAAGTGAATCTTTCAAAGAGACAGAACACTGTTTTCTTGAGTTCATAGGTGTCAGGTGATTACTCAGCCCCCGCGGGGTACTGAGATAAGCCCTAAGGACCTTGTAGTTAAGCATAACTTTAGGTGTACGTCTGTGCACTTTGCTGTCTGGTTGCTGATAATGCCTACTCTAAGGCGTAATCTGCATTTGAAATTAGCAATTACGGTACTGAATGCCCGTTGAATTATAATCTAGTACGATGTTGGTCCACTTATATTTGCTACCAAAACAACAGACTTAGTCCCGAAATTGTAGATTTGTCGTGATGTGACTATTTAATCTGTGGGTTCTTACGTGGAGGCCACATCATAGCCCAGACTGGTTCGTCCTACTTGACAATCGGCAATATGACGTCTGATACTTCTGAATAACACATTCGGACTGGAAGGATAGTAATGTATTAAATACAAAAAGCAAGAGGTTACATATAGTGACCATACCTGCATGACCGAGCCATGACATTTGCATTCATTGGTGCCGCGTTCACCATTTTTGACTTCATCTCGGTGTTAAGTGTTGAACACGAGTTTTATTAGTTGTCTTGTGTTCAGCTTCGAGGATCGTGTGATTAGAACCAATACCACGACATGCCGTCTATCATATCGACTTTTCTTGGTCATGTATAGCTGTTTTGTTTATTCACAAATCACAATATTTTGTGTTTTCATAAACGATATTAGGTTCGTTGACTCATACTCCCTATCCTCTATTTACTATTTGATACGTTTCTTATGTCTCACTTTTTCCTGCTAAGCAGACTTTATTACTAAATTTTTGTGTACTCAGGGTGTTAATTTAGGTTTTGGAGACAGATAACGATTATCGAGCCAAACAGCTTGCTTGTTTTGACTTCGGTTGAGCTAAGACTCTTTGCTCGACAGTCTGGGGATTAGTTTAGGATTTCTCCTGCGGAAAATTACTTCCCAAACTTATTCTCTTCTGGACTAATTATGCTACGTTATTCGTTTTTGAAAAAAACCAACATTATTTTGGTCAACAGTGTTACAGGGGGAACTGAATGTATTGAACTGAGCATATTTATCCTCCTGAAATTTGATCTGTTTTCATCTACCACTTTGGCGCTGGGCATTCTCAGTTTAACACTGTTTTGGCTTGGCATTTCGGAATGTTTGCTTCGCAAACCTAAAAATTGAGGGTTTGTAACAGCAAAGGTTGGTTGGCTAAGAGTTGAGCCCAAACAACCAAGCACATGTCAAAACAGTTTCGTTCAAGTATTCATTCACTTCCTTATTTTGTATAGGCGTTATATTTCCTATTAACTTGTATTGAATGTTGAGATGCTTTGTTTGTCTAAACAAATGATCCCACGCTTGTAATATGCAAACAAACATAGGTAACTGAACAGGGATTTGGTCACTTGTTACCGTCATCGTAAATTATGAGTAGATCAGTCGATCGTGTTTCAATAACAGACTAAAAATCCTAGACGTAACACACAGGTCTTCTATTAACAGAAAACATGGGTAATTGTGGTACTGTTAGTTCACTGTTCATCGTATATTATGTTATGTGTATCAAAAAATAAATTAATTGCATATTTTAGGAAACATATTCCATTACATCTTGACACTGATAAATTTGTGAGATACAGTTGCCCTAAAGGAGACTTAAATCTCGTGCAACAAGTACGTGTAAACTCAGAAAAGTAAGCGATTGGTTCAGGGAACTAATCACGTTAGGATTATGGAGGGCCGATAAAAATATGTAAATACTTCAACTCAGTCAATATTCCGAAACGTGCAAAAAGAATCAGTTGATAGAATACATAAACAAATATATGAAAGATATATTAGTGACATTATTTTCATAAAGGTGCGTGTTCACAAATGCAAACGCATGCCCACAGTTATAATAATGTAAATGTTCGTGTCTAATTGGTAGGGAACATGCTTTGTGACGTGAGCCGAAATATGTGCAACGGGATTGTTAATAAACAGTAAGAAAACGGCAGCTGACGAAGATACAACGAGGTGTGTATGCTAACACGTTTATTTAGCGAATGGCAATCAGTATGACATGCGAACAATGAACATAAATGATGGAGGTCATCCTAAACTAAGATCTTTAGACAATACGGTGTATATAAAATGTGTGGAATTATAGGAAATCATAAATTATGACAAACGTTGTTCACAAATTAATTTTATTTCAATCACCCTCACGGGAACAAAATAATCAAAGTCGATTACTTTCTCCGAGTTGTAGAATGATGAGGAGCTGAAACACATGACAGTAATATAATGTTGATTCAACCAACCGGGTGACTTTTCCGTAAAATGTTAGGTGCTAGTTCCAGGAACTCCCTATCCAAATACAAAAGCACTTGCCTATGACCAAGGTATGAGGGCCTAAAAATAACTGTCTAGCTTACTTGGAGCTGTGACGCCGAGTTCCTATACTGCCTAGACTAACGCTACCGAGAAGCTTAAAAAACCTCCCAACATCAGAACAGTAGGACAAAGAAACAAGTCAGTTTAAGCTAGTTCATAAATCTATGAGGCACGGGAATATACTTCGTGAGCCTTACCTCCTCCCAGTGACGTAATCCACATTTCAAGAGCTACAATGTGTAGTATTTGAAATGCTCTGCCAGATATACAATTGGCTCACACCACAGCCACATTCTGATAATACTGCATCAGTCAGCCTGTGAAATACTTAGTATTTATGATTCGAAATTACACTCTCCCAATGTATTCATATATCTGAAGATTTAGCCCTCACAAATACTCAGTCCGTTCTCCATTCATACCTTGATCTCGATGTGTGTGAAGAATGGAGTGAGCTCCTCTAATTTCCACGACAACCCCTGGAGCTAAAAATAAGGCAGATGATGATAAACAGCCTATGACATCATCGGATAAAATTCTCGAATCCAATGATTACTTGTTTTTAACGACAAAATTACTCGTGGTAAGGGAACTCAACAGACTGATTTAGATTTGATATAGCCTACCACAAAAAATATTTCAGTAGATGCTGTAGTTTGTGGAACTAATATGAATAATCCAACAGACAAAAATAGAAACAACAGCCCATATAGTGAGGCTAAATAAAATGTTATTGAATTATAACTCCTACACAATCAGGCAACATTTATTCCCAACGTCAAGTCATACTCCGTTAAGTAGAACAGATTTAATTAACTATGATTAAGGAAGTAAAGATCTTCTGTACATCGCATATATTTTTGAGGACCGCATTGATGCGACTGAATGGGTGGGAAGATTAGGATATGCAATTACGAACAAAACCCTTGATGGACCACAAACAGTGAGGTGACGATGGTCAACGAACTTCCGATAAGTTTCCTCGTTAAAATAACGAGTTCTATGTTAATCCATTGGTTTCAGTTTTTATCGTTACTTTGCGTTCTGTGGTGCTGTTTTAATAATTACTTTTACTGGAAAACCTTTAAAAGATCAAAACAAGCTTATCATAGCACCAAACTAAGAACTCTAAAAAAATCCATGAAAAAGCTAACTAGTTTTATTGCGAATGTATTTAAAAATTGTAATGAGAACAAGAACATCAAATAAAAATTGATAGACTCCGTGATTATCTACATAATTATGTGATGTTCTTCATATTTCTGGGAAGGACCAACCTTAAAACTAGTTTTCTTTTATTGGTTTGTTTCAATGAACTTTAGCGTTCAGCGCTCACTCAACTGATTTTGTTGTTAATACATTTATTGTTAGGATGGCAACTCTTGTTGATGCAATACAGAGGAAACAGGAAAAGTTAACAGAAAGTCACATTTTAGTTGGCCACATACAAAAGACGTGTAGTCGTGACGGATCGAATATTCTGTTTCCTACTCGGACATTAACAATGGACTCTCAAGATATAAAGAGCATTGGTTGCAAGGATGAATTGCTAAAAGCAGCTGAACATGTTAGGGAGTTAGATTTGGCTTGTAATCAGTTGTCTTCATTTGAAGAGGTGTGTGTTTCTACTCGCTGAATAATTATAATTTGGTATCCAGCCAAAGTTTAGACGATTTTTTCATTGATAAGTTCAAATTTCAATAAACAAAAGTGGCTTTATCGTATTAGTCGAGGCGCTAGTTGTGCACATATAATCTTACCCGGTTTCTAGAAAGCTTTTTGTTGTGAAGTGTATTACTAGGCTAACAGTTATGGGGATCATCAGTCATAAACCTGTTTGTCGACTGTTGTAACAGTTTCCTTAATTTTTGTGTTGTAATAAAAACGTAAAACCAACCACTTCAATAGGAAAAAACAGTAACTATAACGAGTGGGGGATTATTATTAAATAATGCTAGAAAAGTTAACTTAGATGATAAAAGATACTTTACCGGTATTACAGCATAGAATAGTTACCTATGAGCTCATTCCAAAGATTTTGAGTCTCATTAATTATGGTAGGCATCAATAATGTTGCTTGGCAGTATCGTGTTTGGAAACTAGGATGCACGGCTTGTTTTATCTGTCAGTGATTTCTACTAAGACTATGTAGTCTGCATCAGTCCTGTAAGTCCAGTTCAAAAGTAGTTCTTTTCAGCACAACTTATTTGGTTTCTTTGTTGGACCAGTCATCTTATAAAATATCAATGTGATTACAGGGAAACCTAACTGTTGATAGAACTACGAAACTATTGTGATTACCTAAATTGGTTGTGAGCATTTTAAAATCAGCAAGCGCGATTTATAACGATCTGTTGCACTTAGTATTAATAATGATTATACTGTACTCTAAACAGAGATGTATGTCATGTATTTTTAGACTTAATGGAGAAGATCAGTATGTGTCTATTCCGGTCTTTGACCTCAACATGAAGTGTAATCATATAGGATAGTAAATATTTATTTTAGCTTTTTCTGCTGCATAGTATTATAAGTTCGTTTGAAGCAGAGGTTAATATTACTGACAGATCACAAGCTAATGTTTGTTGCATTTGGTTTCAAAGCCAGCTTGCAAAAACTCAGCAAATCGATCTCACATACAGTCACTTATTGTAAGTTTGGGGCTGAATATCGCTTTATTGAAGTTTTTGGTGGGTAGATATGCTGTCTAAACTGATAAACATCTAACTCCACGCAAAAATCAGTTATTTCTAATTTCTTACTAATACTATGGAGTTTTTCTTTTGATAATAAGGAAATTGCCGGATGTTTCACTTAATCTAGCTTTAATGTTGCAGATCAACTGTTCGCTGTTTAGATAATTATTATTTAACTAATTAATTTACTCAGCTTCTTATTAATTAGTAAATATATGGCAGCACTGTAATATTAAAGCATCCATACAATATTTGTTTTTGATTAATATTTCGTGATGTTTATATGTTGCTTGTTTTATCTTTTTAGGTATTTAAAATTCTATGTTGGCTTGAAAAACTTGAATCATTGAATTTAAGTCAAAACCCATTAGGTTGTCATATCTCTGATAACCAATCTTCCAATTCATCTTTTGATGAAGATACTATTGGTCTATTATCTACTGAAGGAGAAGAAAATATTCAACCTGTGAATAGCTCTGAACTATCTATACAGGATCAAAATTATTTTTATTTTAACAAACTGTCATCATCATCCAAGTCGAATAAAATACTTCAGTCTAAACATAATGAAATTGATTTCTCACCAATTTTTCACAATGAATTCATGAATGATTCAATAGAAAAAATTAAGTCGACTAACCATCCAAATGATGGTGTTGGTAGTAATGGTAATCTCAAACAAACAAGAGGAAATGAACCATCTAACATGAAAACGCTACCAAAGGTAAGTGTTCTACCAACTATAAACCGTTAGACGGAATTTTTTTCATTAATATACTAAATTAGTTAGTTATAGAGATCAGTTCAATTTTGAGACGACTTTTTTCATAGATTAATCTCAATTGGGGAATTTTTGAAGCCAGCTAGCGCTGGATAGTCATCCCCTTCAATTTTTAGACTCCTCAGAAGTGTATATTTACAATCCCGACAGGAATCATATCATTTAGAAAATTGAACCGTGATCAGATGCTTTAGATTTTAAAATTTATTTTCAAACTAGAACAAAACATTTGTCCAGCGTCTTTTGGTTTTCGATCGTTACCCAGTTGAGATTGACCCGTGATGAAAATTAATTCGGAATCATTTATTTATTCATCCAGCTATCGTAATGTTTATTCGATGGGCTTGATCCGTCTGAAGATAATTTCCATATTATTTTGGTACTTAATCAAGAACATCGATAACAAGTTCTGATACATTTGAATAATTTACTGAGACGATCCTAATCAGGACTAATGTTATAAAATCAGAACTCAGTATACATGTCAACAAGTCACTGTGTTTGATCATATTACTCGAAATGTTTTGTAATGGTATATTACGCAGTGCTGACAAGCTACTAAAACCTGTTAAAATGAATGCTTCAATCATCCAAATCAAGCACAGTGTCTATCATAAAAAAAGCTGGAGTATCTGATTCCCGTTCCCGAAAACAGTTTTAGGTATTACGTACGAGTGAATAATCTCAAAGCAACTGTATAGTTTGGCTCTAGACTTTAATATCGTTTAAAGTAAAATCATTTTAGAATCAGGACCTCCTTGTGAATTAGTATATTTCATATTAGGCTTGAAATTCGTTTCTGCGTTAATGCATAATTGTGAAACAACCTGGTCTATCATCATAGAGTATAGATAAGATAACAGTGTCCAAACATAAGTTTCTTCTAATTATTGCTAGAGTATGAGAGAACTGTCACTTAAGAAATGGTTTTAATTGCTGTAGGATACTAAGTTAAGGTGGTGTGTTATTAAAACCTTAGACTTGGAACTGTCGGAATATGTTGTCCCTATGCTCAACCACCTACTTCTGAATACTGTGACGGTCAGCATAGAAAGTCGTAGGATTCCTTGATGGAGTTTTCGTGATAACTGTAAACAACGGTTTGTAAACTACATTTATTTATTTGTTATTTGAACACATAAATATTGGTACAAGAGAGCGCCAATATATATGCGCCACACAAAACAATGAATATTCGAAGAGAGATAGAAAAAAAACTAAGGAGCGCAAAAGAAAAAGAGAACGATAACGAAGAGATTGGTGTAAGGTAGTGTGGTAGTAACGAGGGAACGGAAAGGTACAATCAGAAGAAATCTTTCAGGTAAGGGAGACACAACCACTTTTTATGAAGAAAGTAAAAGAAAGTTACAGCAGGATCGTCACTGGCTTCTATTCTGAGCCATATCTGATAACGTCTCTAGCCACTGTGTAGCACCGTCTCTCAGACCCCAACCAGGGAGTCGTGAAGGACCGACAGAAGCCAGTCCTTTGCAGCTTTCTTTCATACCACGACACCATGTCATGCACTGACCACCTCTCCGCTTTTTCCAACCAGTCCCAGAGTCGGCAAATAATGCACGACGTGGAATTCTCTGGGACGACATTCGTAGAACATGTCCAAGCCACCGAAGTCGGTGTTTCAAGATGGTGACACCAATTGAATTATCATCTCTGTGCCCAAACACACGATGCCGAACCTCTGCATTACTGACATGGTGTTGCCACTGAATGTCAGCAATCCTTCGGAGACAGCGATGATCGAACACAGAGAGTCGTCAAACATCCCCAACTCGGAGAGGCCAGGTTTCACAAGCATAGAGCAAAACTGCTCTCACCGACGCGTTGTAGATCCGACCTTTTACAGCCAGACTAACATCACGAAGGCGCCAAAGGTGGCCCAGATTGGCATAAGCCGCTCTGGCTTTCACTATACGTGCATTGATCTCATCAGTCACACCCCCACCAGCACTTATGCAGCTACCCAGATACACGAACTTCTCGACTACGTCTATCTGCTCACCATCCAGGGTGAGTACAGGATTGGAATCCTGCCAGTCTTGTAGAAGTACTTTGCACTTCGAAGGTGCAAAGCACATACCATACCTACGGACACTGATTGCCAACTGATTAAGTGCGGATTGCATGCCTTGGGCATTATCGCACAGTAGCAAACATTATTTATTTATGTATTTCAACACATAGATAATGGTACGAAGAGGCACCAAATACATATGCACCACACAAATCTCATTCGATATGTGTGTGAGGGCTGTGATACTGTCCGGGTGCCCAAACCGAAGCAGGTGGTTTTCTTAGGGGGCCACACCCCGAGCCTTCGACCTGAAGGTCTGATCCACAAGGCAGTGGAGTATCGTAAGGAGATGCAGTCCCATAGAAGCCGGTGACCAACAATTGGTTCATTCGCCATTTGTTCCCTCAGGATACTGGAGCCCATGTGTACCATTGGTTCGGAATCCGTTTAAAGCGCCGAACATTCGCTTTTCGTCCTCTCATTTTCGTAAACAACACCCCCGCCACGAGAAGGCAGTGAGTAGGACTTCCCTGGCAGAGGCTATATACGCGTGGCCATGTGAGAGTATTTCGAGAGGGAGAGCGGACTCTCCCCACTCTCGGCCGTACCAGGGCATTTGGGGGCAATAGCACAGTAAGACAATATCGTCCGCATACTCAAGGTCGAGAAGTCTTTCTCCAGGCAACAGATCCACACCACCATTACTTACATTCATCAGATCTGTTTCCAGAATGTCATAGATGGCAAAGTTGAAGAGGAATGGTGAGATTGGGCAACCCTGCCTAACCCCACTACTCAAATGGAACAATGGAGAGAGGTGGTTGTATGCCCTCACTCTGCCTGAGGTGTTTTTATATAGGGCTTTTAGGATGTTAATAAACTTCTCAGGCACACCCTTCGTCAATAGACAATCCCAGAGAACAGTCCTGTCCAACGAATCGAAGGCAGCCCTGATGTCAAGAAACACTACGATTGTTGGCCTTTGATAAGTATGTCGATGTTCTAACATTTGGCGGAGGGTGAAGATATGATCAATACATCCTCGACCAGAACGAAACCCAGCCTGCTCCTCGCGAGTCAATCTTTCTCGGGTTTTGAACAACCTACGAAGTATGACGGAAGCCAATAGCTTGGACGCAATCGGAAGTAGACTTATCCCTCGATAGTTGTTGCAGGAATGACGTGAACCCTTTTTAAAGATAGGGACAACTATCGACTCATTCCATGACGTTGGTACACTCTCTAGTTCCCAAACCTTTGTAAACAACGTCGTCAATTCCTTAGTCAAAAAGTCACCACCATCTTTAAAAAGAGCCGGAGGTAAGTCATCTGGGCCAGGTGATTTGTAACGCTTCAAGAGTTGGAGTTCCTTGCGGACTTCCTCCTCGTTTGGTGGATCAGTCGTCACCGGCCATGGAGCGCAGGACAGTCTGACCGATGTTGCCGGAGCAGCAGGCCAGTCGAACTGCCCTTCGAAAAATTCTGCCCATCGTCCAAGACGTCGATGGATGTTGGTGATTGGCATCCCATCATCCTCGCAGATTGTTTCACTCACACCAGACTTCTTGCTGCCAGTGGCTCGGATGAGCTGAAAGAGCTTCCGGTAGTTACCAGATGCAGCTGCTGCTTCCAGCTCAATAGCACGCTCCGACCACCAGGCTTCTCGGTCCTTACGCAAGCTTTGCCCAATTTCCTTACGTAACATCCTTCGTTTATGGTCAAACTCACGGTCACCCGGAGTAGACCGACGGGCTTCAATAAGTTGTAAGGAACCAGAAGAAACCCAGTGCTTATAAGCGGGACGTTTCGCAAACCCATAACTGACTGTTCCCGCCATTTTCATGGCGTCATGCAATTGCAACCAATGCTCATCTATACTTTTCGGTGGAGTGGTAGCTAGCCTAGAGGCTAGCTCGGTTCGATACTTACTTGCAACAGAAGTTGCAACCAGCTTACTAACATCAATCCGTTGGTGGCGGTCACTTCGTTGGCCACTGAAAAGTAAGGCAAGATTGGCGCAGACCAAGGCATGGTCAGAGTTCAGATAGGCACTCCAAAAGGAGCGGCAGTCTTGTACACAATCACGCCGGCGGTAGCTGATCGCGATGTGATCAATCTGAGTCCAGGCTTGGGATGCAGAGGGAGGACGCCAGGTGGCACATCGGCGATGACTGTGCTGAAAGTTAGTGCTAGCCAGAAACAGGTTGTGGTCTGTGCACAGTTGCAGTAGACGGTCCTCGTAATCTGACCTGCGACCAACGAGTCCCCATCGGCCACCTAAACGACTCTCATCTGTGCCTAGACGCCCGACCTGAGCATTCAAGTCTCCGGCTAGTACTACAATATCTGTCGAACGCACTTTCTGGAGAAGAACAGACAACTGGTGGTAAAACTCATCCTTGATTGCATCCGGGCTGCAATCTGTCGGGGCATAGGCGGAGATGACGAAAAGACATCGTTTCTCACGCCGATTTCTTTTCACTTTGATGGAACTTTCTAATCTAACAGCACATAACCGACTGTTAATGGGGATCCAATCGACTAGTGCTGCCTCAGCTCTAGCGCTTAGTGCGAAACCAACGCCAGCAAGACCAGACGAAGATGCCACAGGGTCCCCGGATAAGCGCACGTAAAACAAGCTTTTCGAAGCGACAGATGGAGATCGAATTTGTAGTACTTCGCCAGAGTCTTGAATACGGGTCTCGGATAGACAACAAACATCAATATTAAGACTTTCCAAAGATATAGCCAGCCCTATCTGTTGTCCGACCTGCACTAGTGTGCGAACGTTGAAGGCAGCCAGTTTGAATGGTGCACGTGTAAACTACATTATATGGCTGGAAATCAATTGTAGGGGTGTAGATTTTATTTATTTCCTGTCTTAAGTTGAACTTTCAGTACTATGTTCTATATTTTCGTTTCTTATATTTTCATTTGGTCTTTTTAATTGTGGCTGCTGTTAGTGTTTTTACTTTTGTGGCAATGCCTAAACTGATGAAGTATTTGAACGTGTCGATCGCTTCACTTGAAAGTCTCATCAACCCTAGACGAATGGTGTCTGATAAAGCCTCAATTGGTGTTTATCAACTTGCGTCACTAGTAACGTAGGTGAGATATTCGGTTGTCAACCAAAGGAGCGAGTATACCATGCGGTAGTTCGCTCTGTTCTACTTTACGGTTGCGAAGTTTTAAGCTTTAAAAATAAAGGATATTCGTACGGTACAAGTAATTTTACAACTGTACGTTTAAATTCAATTTTCCTCACCACCATCATACCTATCATATATTCTTTCATTCAAAACAATTAGTCCCTTTGATAAATTTCGATAATGCAATGAGAAGACGTAGTTTATCAGAATTATGTGATATATTTGCGCAATACATTTCGAACAATCTGATCACACATATACTTGTTAAGAACATTTATATATGAAAAATTAAAAGGTCAACTAGACAGGTTAAGGGTAAGTCATAACAAAGGAAGAATATTAAAGTACACAAAAACAAATGTGATTACCACTCTGGATAGTAAATCAGTACTACCAGGGTAGGTTAAGTGTAAGTACAAATTGTTTTTGAACACATAAAGGGGGTTTCAATTTCCGTATAGCCAAGGCTTCAATAAACCTTAGTATACGTCCTTGAAGGCTTTTGTACAATACAACAAATGCTGATTTGATATCAACCTTATGACCCGTCTCAATCAAATGTTTCGCAATGGATGATGATGTCTGTCTATCCTGTGATCTTATTTCACCATTGGAATTCATCTGATTCTGCAACCATTTTGGTATATGTTCACCCACCCTTAATTGCAAATCACGATTGCTCCTCCCTACGTACGTGTTTCCACACATACATGTAAATTTATAGACACAATGGGATGTGACACAATCGTATTCATGCTGTTTGGGCTTTTGGTGAAACATAGACCTTGTCTTTTCGATAATAACAAGTTGCGCTGCATAAAATGTCCGGTTGATAGCTAATTTAAGTCTCTGTTTCAACATGAGACTATTTGTGTCACCTCTGAATGGTAGCGTAATATATGGTTGCGCAAATATATCACATAATTCTGATAAACTACGTCTTCTCATTGCATTATCGAAATATATTCTTTCACTTTAAAATGACCCAGAAATTAAATACCTTTCAAAAGTACAAGTCAATAAACAAATGAAATTATTCATAGTTAATTTCTATCTTTATTTCAATCAAATCGCAATGTGTTTGTTTTTTTCGTGAATAAAAAGTACATTTTCTTCCTTACCCGAATATTTTCTACACTTTCTTTATGCAAAACTATTATTTTTGTTACTATTCTTCTTCTTCTTCTTCTTCCATTCGCTTTAAATTTTTGCAAAATTTCTGTATATCTCTCTCATTCTACTCCTTATTTACAATTAATTTACCAATGCAAAATATTACAATAATAATAACAACATGCATATATATAAGAAAGATAATTGTATAATCAGATGATTGGGATGATTTACTTAATCAACCGTAAGATTCCATTATGCCATCATCATATGATCAGTCAACTTGTATGCATGTGTGTGTGTGTGTGTCCATAATTTTATATAGTTTTATTCACTGAATCAATTCTCACGTGTATTATATATAAATAAATAAATCACTGATATTGAATAGTGAAATTTCAATTGGTGGAACCTAATATTTATTTATTTATTTTAAATAACTTCTTTGTCTCCGAGCTATTATTATACTTGTTCCTTTTTGTTTTCTTGAAGATTGATAGAAATACTATAAATTAGTTATATAATAATATTTATTGCTAACTTCAACCAATCGTGGATTGGTTGAAGTTAGACATTAACACCGTTGGATGCCGGCTCAGTGGTCTAGTGGTTGAGTGCTCGCGCGCGAAGCCAGTAGGTCCTGGGTTCGAGCCCCGCGTGTTGCGGGATCGTGGATGCGCACTGCTGAGGAGTCCCATACCAAGACGAAACGGCCGTCCAGTGCTTCCAGGTTTTCAATGGTGGTCTAGCTTCAACTGACTCATGATTTCAACCCGTGAAATTTCTTAAACTCTCCACAAAACCCATTCTCTGATAATATTTATTGCCTTTTTTGTTGTTGTTGATCTGATCAAAGTGTTTTTATAATGTAAGATTGAAACTAGTTGTTTTACGAGTTGGATTTGTTTAAATATTAAAATATAATATCTATTAAAGAATAAATGAATTGATGATAAGGAGTGAAGTATTTGAACGTGTCGATCATTTCATTTGGAAGTTATAAAAGGTTGAAAGAGAGTTAGGGATGGATGAATCAAGATTTATTATCGGTCTATGAAGTCATTGACTATTGATGTGAGTCATGTTGATAGGCACAGACTACATCCGATTAAGACTGATACAGTAATCTCTATGAGTAGTTGGAAAAGCTAAGTGACATGATTCGTAATTGTTCATACTGATGCGGTTGCATCAACTTTATTTTTCAAAAGCTATTCTGGTATTCATTTGTACATATCACTGTATGACTTCTCGAACCATATCCTCAATGTTTAGTCCTTCTTATTATGATTATTGCAACTACTTTATTACTCATCTTGATTTCACATTGTTGTCCTTATATGGTGCGGTAACTTGAATTTATCCACATTTGTATCAGGCTCCACATTGGTTATAACTGGATAACTGTCCTACAATAATTGTTTACTTGGAAAATCTCTCATTAGTTTAACTTCTGTATGTATAGGAAAGTTTTGTTAAACTTAAGTAGGGTGTAAATAATATGGTAGAAAACTTAGCTAAAATGATTTCAAACTGGTTTAACGGATGAAATGAATGTATTTTGCAAGATTATATATATCGAACCAATCTAGGCAAACATAAAGTATACAGCTTAACGACCTCAGAGTTTTAACCGGTTTTAGTTGGTTAGCAGACGATAGAGATCATTGGATAGATTTTCTTGCTAAGAATTCAGATTGTGATACGGATATTAGGATCCTGGCATTATAGCTGATGTCAGTATTTGATGGAAAGCCTAACTCTAACTACCAATACTCAACGCCAAATCCTATCATTATTTTGATATTTGTGCTATGAACTTAAAAGGCTTTTTTCCTCATTGGTTCGGCTGTATACTTCATGTTAACTCTAATCTACTCTTTATCCTTGTCCTCTGTTTAGACGCTAGGTTAAAAGGGATTCGAGGATTAATAAGTATTTAGTTGTTATCTGTTGTTCGTTGGTCACTGACCCTCCAGGCGACATGGGCGAACTAATCGATCATCGGACTAGAGAGAGATCATGCAACTGCTGTCCTGTAATTGCAGCCTGATCACACAGACCCTAATATAACTCAAGCATTTACTTTTTTCCGTTTATATGAGCAACAATTTGGACTAATCCACTATTGACCAAGCTTCATGATTATTGTATAATAATCTGGTAATAATGTATTTATCATATATGTGTTATCATGTTACCGTCAACTTAATTTTCTTTATATATAACATTTTCCTATTAAATTTGTAGCATCCTTCAGCTCCATCTGAACTGGCTTTAAATTCCGGTATTATATCTCCTACCACAGTGTTTCCTTGTTTAAGTGTACTAGCATTGAATTCGACGTATGTACCATGGGATTGGGTGATTGATCTACTTTATCGACTACCAAAGTGAGTTATAACAAAGGAAACTTTTGTTATGAGCAAGTATTAAAAACTTCATGAGGTAATCTATTTTTAACGAAGTTATTATTATTATACTATACAGCTGAAAGTATATCGTGATAGTTATAATGGAAATATTATTTCATTTTGTGTGTGTGTGTGGGGGGGGGAGAGGTTGAGATGTGCAATCTGTCATTTGAATTGATCCTATGCCTGAGTGATGTTAATGTTTACTCAACAACTCCTGCCCCCACAATCTACACGGATACAATTAAAAAACAAAATAACTGGATCATTTTCTATGTGACGGGTTCATACATTTACTTTACTTGGAAATATACATTGTTAAAATTCATATGATCAAGAAATAGTAATGATTTGAATTATTCCATTGTTGATATTCAACACTGAATTTTCGATCAAGCTTTGTTGAGACATATGCATTCTCCATGTATTGCATCGATACAGCTATTTTATCATAAATTTTAGTAAGGTTGAATAGTAGCTAAGAGAGGAATTTAGGGCGCATGTTTAATCTTATTTGGGACTTATCTGTAGCTATCATTGTGAACATCAACAATGTTGAAATGTAACAGGTATATCCAAATGACAAGTTAAAAATAAGACAAAATATACCTCTTGAATTCGGCTGCTAGCCACAATTCATCTATTTTAGAAAATGATTAAATTTCATTCAAACTACAAATGAGCGTAAAATACAGATTTTATGCAACAATGAAATTAAAAACTGTGTTATAAGGCTCATTTATTGATCACTGCTATCAACAATGTAGCTTAAATGGAATATCATTTTAATTAAGATCATGAACTGATTAATGTTAGATCACCATTGAAAACCTGGAAGCATTGGACTTTCACAAAATGTTTCTTACTTGACTCAACGCATAACTTTCAAATGATTCAGAATTGAAATATCTGTCTGTTTTAGCGTTATGTACCAATTAAGTTTGATATGAACAACTTTTCTCGCACTAAGATGCATTAATAATCACTTGAGAAAGCTTCTAGTCATAGAATTGTTTTCGCCTAAGTTTACTCTCTTTATGCATATATACATGTCTTAACAGTGAATATTCATAAAATTTATTTGTTCAGATAATCTTTCTAAAAACTAGTTTTTGGAAAGTTTAGCATCATTTCAGTGTACTAGTTAGTGAGTGATGTGTAAAATCATGCAACATTTCACATACACTATCTAATTGATGGGTGAATTGACCTTATCCGTGTATATCTAGGATGTGAGTATCGTACGTCATACTACCATATATATCACAGCGTAGATAAACATCTCTTTATACTTGGAATTTTCCACTTTACTTCGTAAACACAAAACATTCTAACAATTTGTGTATCTTACATCATAGACTGACCTTAGACAAACATTCGAAAATAGGAAGGACTGGATAACTGTCTCATCATAGTATGGGGCTCCTCAGCAGTACAAGTCCTTTATATGATGTTCCTGTGTTCAATCTTGAGTGCTAATTTTGGGTGCGTACTGCTAACGAGTTCCATGCTAGGATGAGACAGCTGTTCAGTGCTTCCTAGTTTTCAACAGTTATTTAACCAAGTTTGGTCCGTGTTGTAAACTGCGAAATTCAATAATCTCCAGAACATCGCCTCCTCCCCCTGTATTAATAAAAATATTTATATTTAATGTCCGTATATTTTTAAATGTATTTTCAGCTTAACCGATTTACACGTTGCACGTAATAATTATGGAGCAGAAGAGCAGACTGAAGTATCTTCTGATCATAATGATGATAATGATGCAACACCATTACCTGTATTTCCTCATTTACACAGTTTATATTATAGCGATAATGGTATATCGAATTGGTGGACAATATGTCGTTTGTGTAAACATTTCCCTGGATTGGAACAATTGATTTTATTAGGTAATCCTATTGAACATATACCATTTCCGCAAGAGAATTTACATACATCTCAGCATACTACTACTACAACAACAACTAATAACAATAACAATAATAATAATAATAATGACAATAATAATAATACTGATAATAATACATCAAGAAATACTTGTTATCAGCATCAGTGTTTATTTCAAAATGTACATACATTAGGTTTATCAGAAACACTAATCAATCAATGGGAAAGTATTGATGCTTTGAATGAATGGATGCCTAGTTTAACCAATTTACGATTAGGCAATACTTTACCTGTATTTCAGGTATGTTTTTTGTTGTTATTATCTGTCTGTTCGTTTACTCATTTTTGGGAAGTTATTACTTCATTAATGATTATATCTATTACGAACTAGTGCTAGCTGGATAGATTTTAAATATTAAAGGATATTGAGTAGGTGTCACATTTGTTTAACCATAACTTACCTTGACGGGTGGTATTTACTGATATAGATGTAGGTTGAAAGGAGTCTAAATGAGGTAAAATCAAGACTGGTTGGGATCTGTCCTATTATTGTGATAATCGTAAGAGATGTTGAGTGAAATGATTCAGAATCAGTTTCAATGGTACACAGATGTGTTCACTTTTCCTATTCTTTTAGATCTTAAGTTTTGGAATTTTTTATAATTTTTATTCCACGAATTCATTCCATCTCCTCGATTTATATTGTCTATGGCTAATCTAATCTACTATTGATATTATTACCACTACTACTGTAATGAATGAAGATTTAGTGTGGAACACCAACTTACTGTTTGATGCAAAATTATAGAGTGCTTTCGTAAAATATGAAAACTATGCATTAAATACATTATTTGCACATCTTCCTTCAGTTGTCTCTTACATGCTTTATGATTCTTTCAATTCTGTTGTTATTACAAATTCCCTCTGTTAACATTCATGTTCTCTTCAATTCAATCTTCTACTGGCAGACATTCCACTTCCGATTGCTGCTACAGATTACTAATATCTGTCAACATAAATAGCATACACCACATTACTACTGTGGGATTTATCTTAATTTTTTTAAAATCATTTTGCTATACCAATGTAATGCAATGACTTAAATCGATACAGATATTTGTCATGTTCCACATTGTGTTATAACTGATTAACTGACATAAGTACTATACTTTTAAATCGAGTAAATTAAACTGTACCAAGTAGCTAAATGAGTTAATCTAATTCTGTTAGCTTCCGAAAGAAAGAAAAATAAACGACTTCCGACTAATCTGAAACAATTGTTTTGTATATTGTATTTCAAATAGCCCTTATAATATGAACTTTAAATCATAAGTACAAATTAATTCTATTTTATAAATTCATTATATTATTGTTTATATTGTAGTTACTAATGTAATAGGCTTTAATATTCTTGTTAATTATTAACAATCCTTTTTTTTCCTCGTTTAAAATGGGCATCATCAATGTTACATATAATTCAAGGTCATTCCATTACCCAACATCATCTAATTAGAGAAATGAAAATGGGCGAAAAATTCTTTATTCATTTGTTTTAATTCACTTGGTATTGTTTTATTTGTATCTTCTCATTATTATTTAGGACTGCAATTGATCAGTCTCATGTTGGCATATATGCATCCTGTGCGGATTGCCTCGGTATAGCCTTAAGTCACAAAATTTCTAGGCAAATATGGATAGTGGCTAGCAGTGAAATCCAGGACGCGCGTCCCGTCCTATTTATATCGAGGCAATCCTCACAGAATGCACATATGCCAACATGAGACTGATCAATTGCAGTCTTGAATAACAATGGTAGGATACAAGTAAAACAACACCAAGTGAACTTAAACTTCACCCCATTGCATAGGCAGGTGGCTATCAGGACTCAGTAGCTAAGTGGATAACGCAATGGCGTTTGAAGCGAACGGTACTGGGTAGGAGTCCCGGAGTGAAAATCAATTCTGAGATGGAGGTACATCCAGCTGACGAATCCCAGATAGGATGAATCGCTCATCCTGGATTCCACCATCCATCTTCATTTGTTTTGTTTAAAAAATACTACTACTACTACCAATTATTATTATTATTACCAATACTGAAAAGAAAAGAGAAAGCGTAAGCTCATTGATCTATTGAAAATAATGAAGACGTCTAAATGAAGAAAATTTTCTCTTCGATAATATCATTTTTTGAAAATGTACAATCCTATTTATAGGTAATAGATTTGACCGGGGTACCTAGCCTGTCGTATGCCCTGATGGTGTTCTCGTAACTTTCGGGTTGCCTGATCTGCCAAGGGCGATGGGACAGTGTATGATGCTGTTGTTGTGTGTTAGATTCAAAGAGAATTATATGCATGCAAATCCTCCCCGTTATTGTTCCTATTTTCCCCCAAATGCCCTGGTACGGCCGAGAGTGGGGAGAGTTCGCTCTCCCTCTCGAAATGCTCTCACATGGCTACGCGTATATAGCACATGGGCTCCAGTATCCTGAAGTAACAAATGGCGTATGAACCAGTTGTTGGTCACCGGCTTCCACGGGACTGCATCTCCTTACGATGCTCCACTGCCTTGTGGATCGGACCTTTTGGTCGAAGGCTTCGGGTGTGGCCCCCTAAGAAAACCACCTGCTTCAGTTTAGGCACCCGGGTAGTATCGCAGCCCTCATACATATCAAATGAGATTTGTGTGGCGCATATATATTTGGTGCCTCCCTGTACCAATGTCTATATGTTAAAATAAATAAATAATAGATTTCAAGTATTGAACAAATATGAGTACTGCATCATTTAGAAAAGTAATCAAAAATCATCTAGAACTTACGTTATGTAATAGTTTCGGAAGTAATTAAAGGTAATAATTTATAGAATAAAATTAAAAGATAACTGTCTGCTTTATAAAAGGAGAGGAGAAGGTAATAGTTAATATTTATAATTTGCAAAATTCAAGGGGGTGGTAAGACTTGGAGAATAAGGGATCAAATATGACTCTTCTGTACACAGAGGTTAGGTTTAAAATGGTGAATCGCTATAGCCTCAGTTATGTACAAACTCCTCATTCAAACCTTTTTTGAGCTAGTTCTGAATCTGTACAGGATTTTGAATGACGATTCATGTGTTGTATTGTGACCCAGGTTGATCATGTGTTCAAGGATTCAGATGTTGATCGATTCTCATTCTTCTTTAGATAACCATGCACTTTAGTGCCCGGATATTTGTTTACCAAGTTCACACTTTATACGGCCTATATAACCTGCTCCACAAGAGTAAGTAAACTGATAAATGCACATTAAGGTGGTCTTAAGCTGCAGTTTTTCCTCGACACTTCTCTTAAATGAGTTTCTTTCTGAAAAAAACACATTTCGGAGCTCTGCTAAATAAAACGTCTTTCTCAGCAATCTAGATAGTTTGTTCTCTAATATCTCAGCTACTGTATCTACCTTGAATTCTATGTTCAATAATAAAACTTTCCTCAGGACTGTGGATGTATCTTCAACTTGACGTTTTAGTTTTAGACTACTACTACAACTACTACAATATTATGTGTTCATTCACCATTGCTTAATACCTTATACTAAACTGCTCATTAATAAACCTTTTCAAAATAGAACAACCTACCTTGATTAACCAGTTCGATTTTAGGAATTACACTTATTCATTTGCTTTTTTTGTGGAGGTAGGTACATTAGTTGTTCATAGGAATACTTTTTCCAACACATTAGTAGAGTACACTTACCAATACAGTTCAGTGAAGGATCGTGGAACATTATTAAATATTATATTGCACCATATACGGTTGACCATAAATATGTAACATCATACTAGCTATTCGATAGTAGTTAATTATACAAACTAGCCTATTGAAACTTATGTATATACATACACTTTATGATGTATTGAAGAAGCTTTAGATGTGCATAATCTAAAGTTTTGATATGGTTTATTTACATTCTATTGTTAATTAATGAAATTCCAAAAGGCTGATCACTTAAATGATGTCAGTTATTCCGAGATTAAGTTCCTTTTGTAAATATTTTCACTGTCTAGGTTTGATTTGTTAAAAAACCATAAATATATTCCACTGAAATAAAAATAGGGACAGTTATCTTATGTGTACTATGTTCCTTGTTAATGTTTACAAGTGTAAAAGTAGGTTGAATGAAATTTCACTGTAGTCAAGCTAAAATGTGACATCAGTTCACAAAGTCATTGACTGTTAAGTTGAGTTATGCAAGTGGGTGCATACTATCTAGCTGGAATCCTCTCGATTATCACAACCAATGATTGAATACGTTAGGAAATAATGGCTTAGAATAGGTCAAAATAGCACGAATACATTTATTGTAGATTTTGAGCTCTAATATATCTTCATGTATACCTAACGTTTAATCTTATTATTCATTTCTATCTCTTTTCCATTATTCACTTTGTTGTTTTCAGCTCATTGTGCTAACGTGGTATAGGAAGTGTTATATCCTGACAAAAAAGAAAGGAATAATAACTGCTAGGAATTCTTCACGGATTATTATTACATATATTGTTATGAGATAATTATTAAACAACTAGAATATACATATGTTCCTATTCCATTTATTATAAGCTTTTATTTGACCTATTGACTACTATTATACAATTTACTATTCTTAACTTATTCTATATTTATTAGTTACAGTCTCCTATACTTACACGCACTTTGGGCTTTAGTTTATCTAATAATTATTTTTCATTTTATGGTGAGATGCGGTCTGGTTTACTTGTATATAAGTCATGTATTTCTGAAATAGACGACTTAAACAGTAGAGGCTTAGATTGCGTTCTGGACCGAACGGGTTGGATTAGGCCTGAGAGTTGACTCAATGCTGTTCGTGCTGGTTAACGCATGATTGGTTTAGCACATGGACAAGGTTATAGAAGTTGGTGTTCTGAACAACGATTTTGTCACCTGATATTTGACGACGGGTCATAGGATATAACAGGAAGTTTGACCAATGTACATTTTGTGTTAGACTGTACATTAAGTATAATTAATTAATTGTGTAAGAAATATTTTCATCAACATTTGTTTAAATGTTAGAATTTATCTCAAAATTCTTTTTGTTTGAAGTTTTCTTTACAAAATAATTCTATATACATTATGTATATATATCTATATATTTTCAGTCTTGGATAGAACCTGATTGTCGAGCTCATGTAATTGCCAGATTACCAAAACTTACTACATACAATCGAAGTGTCATTGATTCAGAGGAACGTGAAAGTGCTGAACGAGAATTTGTTCGATATTATGGTCAAATTGATCCAGATAAACGTCCTAATCGGTTAGTTATAAAAAGTTAAAAATTAACTTTTATAAGTTAATTAATAAAATTCTATAAGAATTAGATTAATTTATAGATTGTATTTGTCACAAATACTTACTTACTTACTTACGCCTGTTACTCCTCGTGAAGAAGCATAGGCCGCTCACCAGCATTCTCCATCCAACCCTGTCCTGGGCAATCCTTTCTAGCTCCGTCAAGTTGTAATTCATCGTTTTCATATCTCCTTCTATTATCCGACGCAATGTGTTCTTTGGCCTTCCTCTTTTTCGCTTCCCTTCAGGATTCCAAGTTAGCGCTTGCCTCGTGTTGCAGTTTGACGATTTGAGTAATGTATGTCCTATCCATTTTCATCGTCTTTTCCTAATTTCTTCTTCAGCTGGAAGTTGGTTTGTTCTCTCTCACAGAAGGCTATTGCTGATGGTATCCGGCCAATGGATGTTGAGTATCTTGCGTAGACAGCTATTTATAAATACTTGTACTTTCTTGATTGTGGTTGTTGTGGTTCTCCAAGTTTCAGCTCCATACAGTAGAACTGCCTTGACGTTGGTATTGAAGATTCTCGCCTGTAGCTCTTATAGGGTTACTGCCGGTCCCAAGCCCGGGTAAAGGAGGAGGGTTGGGCATGGGGTTAGCTACCCCATCCCGTAGAAAACTAACTCGCTAAAAAAACGCTTACCATTTGTCACAATTAGGGTAACATTAAAAATCTAAAAGTACTGAATAACTATTTCTACATAATATAAGACTTATTATCACAGTTCATATTTTTTGAAAAGTTTTTTATTCGCATTGAAACAATGATTAAGTTCTGTTTGATTTTCAATGATACTCTGATTCAGATTAATATGTGATCATTTCAATTTAGGAAATATGACGAAAGCTTTTAAAAACTTAGATATTTATTGTATACTAACATCAAATAAAGTATTTATATTCTGTTATAGTTTCGGATGACCTTTGAATGAATCTTAAGTGACCTTGAGAAATATTAACCAATCAGCAAACAGTCAGTATAGAGTAAGAATATATTATAAGAAAAACAAAGAAATAAAGTGGATAGACTTTTTATACGTGGTTCAAAAACTTGTCAAGGTTAGAAAGAGGTTCAGAGGTACTAAAATCGTAATGCATGTAGTAGAGGAAACCATCCATACGGCTACAGAATAGTCGGCCTCTGGAGCCATGATAAAGTCTCAAAAACTATTTCAGCCTCGACCACATAGCTTCAATATTGTTTATGTGCACTCCGGTTTTTGGGTCCACAAAATGCCGCTTGTGGATAACGACATGATGCACATAATCAAGCTTATGCAGGAGTCTGTACGCTCTCCAAAGATCCGTATATATTGTAGTACCTGGCTGAAGCCAGTGTTACTTGTACTTTTATTATCCAGTTCTTGATAATTGTCATAATTTGCCTTAGTTAGGAATTATATGTGGAATTTTCATCACGAACTGATACTAGCTATAATGCCAGAAATTTATTTAGCCGAATGCATGAAAAGTTTTTGCGTTAAAATCAGAGATCTGCTATCTTATATCAGATTGATTCATCTACAAATTATAGTCTCGCTCTTTTATTTATTATAGACACTCAATTATCACGTTTTGTATAAAATTCCTTGTGAACCGATTGTACGTTAGCATTAAACACTGAAGTTGGCGCCGTAACCTTAAGATCCCTAAAACAATTCTGATTGGCTCGTCTATAAACTAGAGTCTCGCCGTAGGATGTTCACATGACTGATATAGTCGTGAAAATTTTCAATTTTTAGAATTTCTCTTAATTAGAATAAGAAATCAACTGTATGTAGTAGTTTGTTATATTCCACCGTAGTCCAAATCTTCAACCGATAATGTGTACCTACAATAAACGTGCCTGAACCAGCTTCTTGAGTATAAAAATCAAGAGTGAATGAAGAACTTTTATTGACTAACTGAATCCAGATATATGCATAAACTTATTCGTAAATATAAATCTGTTCCTTCAAAAAGTAACCAATAACGTACACTTATTAGTATTTCTCAATCATCATTTAACCTTGAACTGATATATATGATTAGCCAAGTGTATCATAGTCACAAGTACTTTTCATTATTCGAGACTAGTAGGTTCTGGGTTCTAATCCCGCGAGGGGGGATCGTGGATGTGCACTGCTGAGGAGTTCCACAATAGGACGAAACGACTGTCCATTGCTTCCAGGTTTTCCATGGTGGTCTAGCTTCAATTGACTCATGATCTCAACAGTTGAAATTACTAAGATCTCCACTAAACCCCCTTCTGATACTTCTTATTATGTCTATTTATCTATCTAAAGGTGTATACATGCCCAACAGTTACTCGCATTGGTATTACGAGTAAATTAAAAATAAACTAAGGTTTAACACATTCAAGACATGATATTAATCGATGAAATCATTGACTAATGATTTCATTCATATTGTCAGGTACAAACTTTCCGATTAGGCTCCATCTGATGAATGTGGTCAGTTGTGTTCTTAAATTCTTGGTAACATAACACAAAATCGATTCTTAATTTGACACAACTTTCATATAATTTATTTCCTCTTTTCTAACTAATATTTCATACGTCTAGCATTGTTTTTATTTTTTACGATCATAAATATTACTGTTACTGATTAATTACATAAATCTTTTTTAGTTTATTTTTTTCTGTTCTATTTTGGCTTGGCGAATTAGGCTAATACACCTTTAGATAACTGATTCACTGAGTGAGAATTATTAACTTATTATGTAAAATATCAGCAACCAATAATTTTCGTATACTTCCTATAATAATAATCATGTGCATTCACCAGTGACTAATTTCCAAGAAGAATTCCCGGAGTTCTAGTGAGGAGCGATGACTAGTGGAGTTCAATTATATTGAGTGCGTGAGGCAGTTACTCACCGCAGAGAATGAGAGATGGTCGCACAATATCCCGGGTTAATCGAAATCAGATATGTAAACAGCAGGATCCTAACCCAGTGGTCTTAAGTTTAAACGCTCCTCATGAAACTCGGAAGACCTAGGTTCGACCCCCTAACGGGTCGGGAATGCATATTACTGAGGATTCCCCTGTTAGGACGAAACGGCCTTAAGTAGTTGTCTAATTAACATCAACCCATCATGTAAGCGATAAACTTCATCAATCTCTACAAATCGTCTATAGTATATCTTTAAAGAAGTTATTTATTGAAAAAATGTATAATTTCATTCACACTAAAGAATTTGTTTAACTACCCTATTTGAATTTTCCTTATTGTTTTCCTTCATTCCATTGTCTTCTCTTTTGCGAATAAGTTATAGGTAGTTGATTTAATGATTCATTTAATTTTTCTATAATGTACAACTTAATTTTAGTTATTGGGCTCTAGAACGTCGACATGGTCGACTTCAACCATTAGCTAATATTGATTTATCTCCAAAACAGCATATTCGTGTACGTGTCACAATGTCAGGGAAAGAAGTAAGTATGATTGGGTTATTATCTATTTATTGATCATTTTTCTTAAGTGTTTTTGTGTCAGAAATCACAAAATCCACTAATCGGTTTCATGTTTGTAATTATTATCAGGTAGTTTGAGTCTTCATCGAATGACATCAAGCGATGATCTATGTTAATCTTTATATTTTATAGTACTGTGAAATATCCAATCTTTAAATATATCAACAGAAGGAACGTATCGAATTCCAATGATTTATGACTTAATGTAGCACTACAGACCTCAACGGTTTGACCTTGGGTTTCAAACTTCCTGACAATTTCCTCTCACATGATCGGCTTTAGGTATAGAGGAAAATGATATGGCATGAACAATTTCAAAATTATTAGGAACTAACAATTTTTTGGGAATAATTTCTTTATGATTGTCACAAATTAAAAGTAATTGAAAAAGCATTTAAAATTACCCAATGAACACTGAGAACAGTTGATATCAGTTGATCCACTGAATATTAACTAAAGTCATTTTTGTCTAGTCCTTTTTAATTTATTGATTGAATTCTATCGATGAAGTTACAATGTGGCTACTAGTAATTAAGTAACTTGATATCATGTACACTATGTTTTGATCTTAAGTAGTTGAAAGTTTTTAGGAAACCCTGAACGTAAGTTTCGTACTAGCTAGCATTTATCAGCAAGGTTTACTATGCATTCTTGAAGCAATTAATTTCTTACCTGTGGTATTCGAGCATGCATCATAGTTTATTATGTTACCACTGTGCCAGCCATCCGACTTATGATGGACCACCTTTATGACTAAGTTAGTTCTACTGATTGATCACTGAGTAGTACTCACTGTAATGTTTTTGTAGTAGTCAGTGTTAACACTGTACAGTGAAGGGTGTTCATTTGTGTTATATCAACACCCTTCGCCTAAAAAGTGCAGCTCAAAACCGAGTCCACTAACTTGTTGTTAAATGATGTGCATAATCAATAAGGTAATTATTTTGTCTATCTATTTATCTCATTTATCAGATACGGAGTTGTGTACTTAGTGTTGTAAAATGTGGCTTTTAAAAATAAAGGATATTTGCAGGTTACCAATATTCAATCATAGGTGTCTTCAAAACATTCTTGTGTATTTTGGAACCAGTGAGTAAGCAATGTCTGAGTTAGAGATAAGGTATTAGGTAAGGATAGCAAATCAATTGGTGAAGTAGTAAATCCTCATCAATTGAGGTGTTTGAGACATGTGCAACCACCATCTACCTTGACGGACGATGTTATCTGGTGTAGAAGTAGGTTCTAAGAATAATAGGGGCGACCAAACCCATGTGGGTGGAGTGGTGTTTGAACCTATGATCTAGTATCCAAAAGTTGAGTGCATTAATCACTGAACCACTACTCCCTATGTGACTGTTCCACACCACATGACCATTGCACCGAACATAATGTTGGTCAAATCTTAACAGAATACTTTCAAAGAGGGGCTCATTATCATAGCTATTACGTAACAGTTTAGTTACAGTTGAAACTTATCCAACATTTCATTTTTCATATCTGAACTAGCAGTCAGTCAAACGTGTAAACTTTGTCCATCTACATTTTTGTGTACAATTTTCTTTTTTTTTTAAATTGAATAAAACAAGTTTTTTTCTTTTCATTGTTGTAAATGTACACTGCCCTTGTAAAACGAAATAACTGTCCAATACTTTCTAATTCTCAATAGTTGTCTAACTAAGATCAGTTCATAATTTAAAACTATACAAATTCTACAATTTTCATATTCCCCTTTATTATTATTATTATCAATAAAGGTTGTTTCTATCTTATACATCTATTCTAGATGTATAAAAATTGACAATATTTATTCATTATCTATCAATTATGTTTAGTTTTATGTACAAAATTAGAATGATTTGCCTATTTTTCTATTTCTATATCTTTTTTTCGCGCTACAAATAAAAACAAACATTTGATTGGTTGATTGCAACTTCAAGGTCAACCTCATCATATGTTTATTCTTACTCTTATTATTATCAGATCATGTGAAAAACCTAAAAAAATACTTTTAATCTACTAAATGTGAATAATGAATGATCAAACTTACTTTTTTTTTTAAATTTTGACCTTAACCTATTTCTTCGGACAGAAAATGATTCAAAATTAAAATGCATTAGATAGCTATTTTGTTTTAGATTATGTTAGAATGATTTAGATCGAATGAAAGTATATTTCTTACAGAGATTGTATTGGATTATGTTGTTTAGCTATCCTCTTATATTCCTGTTAAACTGTTTTGTAATTTGTGGACTTATCGAGTAAAGTAGCATCCAATAATACAAAGCAATAGGAATAGTTGGATTATAATAGTATGGGACTCTTTATCAATACATATATATGACCCTATCATATATGATCGAAAGTAGGAGCTTTGATCTTGTATGCAAGCGCCAAATAAATCTCGAGTAGGAAAAATTGTGACTGACGGAGTTCAATTATGTCAAGGTTATAGCTAAACCAGTTATTGTTATTGATAATAATGGATGATAGTTATGCTACTATTTGGTGAATTGATCAGAAATTGAAAATATGAATCTCATTACACTTCAACATAATGGTTTAAAAGTAGTAACTGATTTGTTGTGCAACCTGAATTGTGGGTATTATGTTTTATTCCTGGCGAGTTAGTGAGCATGAGATACTAAAGAGTCCTTAACACGAAATAGGTGTTCAGTTTCCTCTTGGTTTCAATATTTCCCTCAGATAACGTTGTCAGTTCATCGTACCAACATTTACATTAAACTAATATTGACACCCTGTTCTAATAAATAATATCATAGTGTAAGTTTGTTATGCAAACCATAAATCTTTGCAAATCCCTTACATGCTAATAATAGTCATGTGCTAGCTAGTGACTTATTTCGAGAGATAATTCCAGGATTTCTTGTGAGAAGATGAGATCAGTAGACTTCAACTCTGTAGGGTGATAAGATGCCCACTTATGGACGTTGGATCATGGTCGCGTTATGTCGTCAATTAAGTGAAATTAGATAATACAAACCTGTTCGTCGGTTCGTCCATCCGTCGAGATTGTAGATTCTCACTCCTGAGGAATCCCATTCTGATACGAAACAGTTATTTAGTGCTTCTTGGTTTCCAGTGGTTGTCTAATATCATTTCATTATGTAAACTACAAAATATCACAGGTGTTCTTTCTGTCGTTTAAAGGAGACTCACTATGAACTATGCACAGTCGATAAATATTCAGACATACTAGGCAGTTAGTTATTTTATTTCATTCTGAAGCTTCATTAATTACGGGTAATGCCATGGAAGGTCACCCTTAAGATTATTAAAAACTATTTAATCTGGTCAATTTTTAATAGTACAAATCATTTTTTATGATCATAATATGAGTACTTGTTACAAGTGTCAAGGCGAACTCAAATGTTTTTTTCCTAACTAATGCACATATGTTACAGGTTTCGAATTCCTTATAACGACTAACTAAACCTTTTTAGAATCAGTCAATTGGTGTTCTATTGTAATGTAAGACATATTATATTTCTCGTTAATTGTTTTGGTAAACATTTGTCCCTAAAATTCGACCGTTTGATCTTTACCAGGATACATGACTATTGTGGGGTTAATTTAATAAACACTATCATTTAACTCATATGGAAAAATGTCATGGTAGTCAATTATCATTTACGTAGAGCCTAAGGCAGATGCCTGTTGGACTCATTTGCCATATCATATTAGCTCAATATAATGAAGTTAAAAATATGTATATTAAGAGAGATCAAATTAATTTAGTAGCGAGCATGTCGACATAGAACAAATTAACAGTCAGTAACTTCATGGATTAATGCTATGTATTGGTTTACCCATTCGAAGTTTCTTTTCCAACCGACATCATGAAACTTTCCCCTATCAAGGTGAGGGATGATTAGGGATATGTAACTTATGTCCTAACTCTAACCTTACTCAGCGAAAATTTATAATCCCATCAATCGATTTGATACCTTTCCCTAGTAACTCTGTGCTTAACCTTAAGATTACTCCGGTCATTCCTCAGAACGTGAGTAATACTTGAAAGACATCTATGATCTAAAACCTGTAACGTATACATATTACGATAGCATGTGGGGATAATGTCTATGAGATCACTCCTAACATTTCACAAATTAAATTTTAAATTTACTGGAGTTCGCAATCTCCCGTTATTGAGATTTCAAATTGTATTTAATCAATTCCTGCTTACATACGGGCAATATCAATTTATCCGGTAGCCAACAGTGACGGCTTGATTTCCATCCTGAATATTATTAATAGGAAAAATACACACTCTTATGAACAATAATGAATATCATACATAATGAACAAGTTTTATACTCACTTTGATCATTAGTAGTTTTATGTAATATTACCCTAACATTTGAAGCAATAAATACTGGTTTTCAATGGTGGTCTAGCTTCAACTGACTCATGATTTCAACTTGTGAAATAAATACTGGGTTTTGTAAACATCATTAACACTGAAAATTCAGGTGTATACCTAAAAAAAGGGACAAAACCCATTTTATTTCTATAATACTTTTCGACCTTGTTAATAAAAATACTATCAGTATAGGGTTGTGGGGATTATTAAGTTTTTGTTTGAGATCATGAACGAATTAATGTTAGACCATGCCGTGACCAGTGGAGATAGGTATCTACTTCAGTACAATGGGAGTTGGTCGCTCAATTTCATGGATTGGTCAAGGCTAAACATTAACACCGTTGGATGCTGGATCAGTAGTCTAGAGGTTAAGCGTTCGCGCGCGAGACTGAAGGCCGTGAGTTCGAATCTCGCAAGCAGGATCGTGGATGTGCCCTACTGAGGAGTCCCATACTAGGACAAATCGGCCGTCCAATGCTTTCAGGTTTTCAATAGTGGTTTAACATCAGTCGGTTCATGATCTCAATTAAAAACTTCATAAAATATATTATCCAACATATTATTACATCATTTCTCATGATTTCATTTTCTCTCTCTCTTTCTGATTTTCAGGTTTGGTATAATATAAATGTCAACTTAAAAGTATCACAAGCTAAACGTCATTTCTGTAATTTATTCAATATTACTAATCAACATGAAATTAAACATGTGAAATTATTTTATTTTGATCAAGTTATGTCACAAATTCAAGGTCCAGAAGAATTAAAATATCCAAATCGTAATTTATATTCATATCAAATAGAAACTGGTGATTTATTCGAATTAATACGATATCCAGATTCTTGATAATAGAACTTTAACAAAAGTACAATATGATATGAATGTTTGTGTGTGTATGTATGTATGTAATTTTGTTAATCCTTTCTCTTTTTTGTGTGCAACACGGCTGTTTGTATTATAGTCGTTGATTTATTTGTTTTCATTGTCATCGATTTCCCCTTCCCCCCCTTGTCTCTGTCTCTTACTCGTCAGTTTTCCTCTTTCCCCCATTTGTCATATTTACTCTCCATTCACAATATAATAGTGTATATTCATCCGTTCATTCATTCATTCATTTGATCTTATTAATTGTGAAATAATGGTTTATTGGTTAAGATGTTCCACCGTCAATCTTGTTTATTTTTATTCATTTCCATTGGAGCAGCTGAATAGTATCATCGTTATCATTATTTTGAATCCTTTTACCTATTGAATATGGTTCTCGGTTAAAGTCCTAAGTACTTGATTAGTGACTTATATTGTCTGTGTCTATGTCTATTTGTGAATGTATGTGTAAATATGTACTACATTATAATTGTTTTCTTATTACCTTTTATTCAATTCATTCATACAAGATGTGATAGACTCCAAGTTTTTTTCTTCAATTCTCTGAAAAAAAATATCCAACCCTTCAACATATTTTGTTTAATTGTATTGTATTTATTGATTAATTAGTATATTTGACAAATCAATCATGATCATTTTCGATCATTTTGTGTATGGGTGTGTGTGTGTGTGTGCTCTTCTGGCAGTTTTGTGATTTTTATTTTCCCGTTTTCTTTTGTTTGTTTTTTTGAGTTTATCTTTCTTTCTTTTTTTTCGTGTTATTTATTTGTTTGTTTATTTCCATACATTTTAATTCCTTGTTGAATATAAATAAAGCGCTAAGAACAAGACATACAAAATCAAATGAATTCATCATTATATTTCAAACTTTCTTTCTTATCAGTTGCAAATAACCTAAATTCACATTGGGAATATCATTTGAAAGAGTTTCATATACCGTAATCAATGAAGTTTAGTTCATTAGGTGATATAAATAATAAGAAAAGGAAACAACATGCTTAACATAATCGTACAGTTTTCAGTATGGGGTTGTGGAGATTGTTGAATTTCCTTGAAATCATGAACTGATCTAAGTTACACTATCACTGAAGACTTAAAAGCACTGGAAAGCCGTTAGAAAAGGTCGACCTAAAAATGTTACACCTAACCTAATCTCACGGATTCCCGTCTCCGACGGTAAGGCCCTCTGAAGAACAAAGCTAACACATTAAAAAACCCACAAAAAAGCTGTGCATAATCGGCCTCAAGCAGTTGTCCCTTGAAATATGTGGTCATGCTCCCACGTCGTTAAGACCAACATTAATCCAATTTCCTTTTCAGGTTTCTCAAGAAATACCCTTACACGGTGTGGGCACCCGGGAAGTGACATCAGCCCTCATACCCGTAATAGCACACGAGGCCAAGTCGGTCACATTCAAATCCCTCATACACCTCCAAATAAATCTCTTATCCCCACGACCAACCCTTCTCACGTTCCTTTATCACCTCGCACCGCTAATGCAAACGATTCGAGTAGGTGGGACGTTATTCCTGGTCTCCTGAAACCACGCTCTAAACTACATCTGGGAGCTTCCAACGTCCGAACATGATGCCAAATAGGACAACAGGCTTCCTTAGCTAGGACTTTAGAATCTCGCACCATTGATGTGTGTTGTGTCTCCGAAAAGCGCATACAGGATCCGAGTAGCGTCATTCATTTGACCTCACCATATGAAAATAAAGAACCATCTGGATTCACACTTCGTGTATCTAGAAGTCTTGATTCTGCTTCCCGTGGCCTCGCTGGCGTAAGTATAGCATTGAGTCCTAGGGCAGAACTAGCTCTCTTAGAGTGGATCCCAGGAGACAGTCGTTTGTGCGCTGTAAGGTTAGGGAGCAACACTGGATCTCAGCAGCATCTATCGCACTGATACATGCTCGGAAACTCATTCCACCTGGCTCTGAACATAGTGAAAAGCGGAGTCAGCTTAAGCGCAAGCTGACAAGAAGTCTACGCAATGATCGCGAACAGTGGTGGGTGGCGAAATCAAGAGAGATGGAAAAGGCAGCGGCAATAGGTAATAGCAGACAATTGTTCAGACTTGTTGAGGAAACCGCTATTAGGAAACCGACTGTTAGCGAAACACTCTCAGAGAAAGATGGACACATTATACATTCTCAATCCAGGAGATTGGATCGATGGACAGAACACTTTAGAGATCATTTCAACTGGCCTTCAGCCACACTTCGGTTTCCCACGATCTCCAGTCAACCTGAATGGCAAGTCAATGTAGGTCCTCCGTCTCTTTACGAAGTTGAAAAAGCCATAGGAAATCTGAAATGAGGGAGAGCAGCAGGCCCTGACAGACTTACTCCTGAGATTTTTAAGGATGGTGGTTCAGTATTAGCGGTGAGAGTAACTGAGGTCTTAGGAAGGATTTGGGAACTGGACGTAATCCCATCTGACTGGTCTCAATCACTGATCGTGCCAGTCTATAAGAAAGGACAAAAGTCCTCTTGTGACAATCACAGAGGAATCAGTTTGACTAATATAGTGTCTAAAATATTAGCTTCAATAATACTTCGACGCCTAACCAAAGCTCGTGAAGAGCAGACAAGAGAAAACCAGGTTGGTTTCTGATCTGGACGTGGCTCTATGGACCAGATATTCACAATACCTTAGGTCCTAGGACATAGACATATATTCAGAAGTACCACAGTAGTAATATTTCTCGACCTTAAAGAGGTATTTGACTCTGTCGATCGTGAGGTTCCGTGGTAGTGTTTGTCACTGGAAGGAGTACCAAAAAAGTACATTAACGTTATAAAGGCTATCTACCCGAAGACCACTGGCCCCTCGGAATGCAAAATGTCGTCTCAGAAATGGGTTTTATCGGTCCCTGAACTAATGATAGGGGGTGAAGTAGTTGAGCGTATCAACCGCTTCACTTATCTTGGGATTCTCATCAACCTTTGTGGTCTGGTGTGTGATGAAATGTCAGCATGGATACTTAAGGCTCGACTAGTTTTTACCAACTAGGCGAGATATCCGTCTACCAACCAAAAAACGGGTTTACTGCGCAGCAGGTACGCCGCAGTGTCGAAAAAGCTTCTATAGTATGAGGTGAAAACTTGGAGAACTACAAGAGCCATCATCCAGAAGATATAAGTGTTTATTAACGGCTGTCTACGCAAAATATTTCGGATTCATTGTTCAGACACTATCAACGACAACCTACTGTGAGAGATAAAAACCCAGATTGCAGTGAAGGGAGAAATCAGGAAGGAGCGCTGGAAGTGGATAGGACACATATTGGGGAAGGCACCCAACTGCGTCACAAGACAAGCCCTCACATGGAATCTTCAAGGCCAAAGGAGGAGAGGAAGATCAAAGAACACATTACGCCGAGAAATGGAGACAGACATGAGAAGAATGAACAACAATTGGATAGAACTAGAAAGGAAGGCCCAGAACAGAGTTGGTTGGAGAATGCTGGTCGGCGGCCTATATGCTCCACTGAGAGTAACAGGCCTAAGTAAGTAAGTACGTTCTATCCTACTTTGTGGCAGTGAAACATTGCCGGTAAAAGTAGAGGATATTCGTAGGTTACTAGTATTCGATGATAGGTGTCTTCGAGACATTGCTCGTATATCCTGGGACCGTCGAGTAAGTAACACAGTTGTTAGGAAGGATGGTAAATCAATTGATGAAGTAGTGAAACTTCATCATTTGAGATGGCTGGGACACGTGTTACTTATGCTCAACCACCGACTGCTTCGACGTGCGAATTTTTATGGTGTAGGAGTAAGATGGAAGAAAACTAGGGGTGGCCAGACCAAAACATGGCACAAGTCCATGAAGTCACTGACAAGTGGACTGAGTCATGTTGGTAGTTGTAGACTACCTGGTTGGGGACCGCGAGATGATAGCAACCGATGGTTAGAGACCTTGAATGATGTAGCTGAAAATCGTTTGCAATGGCACAGGTGCATCCACTCTTTGTGTTTTCCCAAATTCTAATCTTCTGAATTCTTCATGTCCCTTTCTTTTTTCTCTTTCCAAATTTATTTCACTGGATTACACTCCTTGAATAACATCTTCAAAGCCTAATTTTTCTGATTACAGCATATAATTTTACTACATCTAGCACTACGGGCTTTGAATCGACAACTGCATCTCTGTTGTAATGTGGTGTGGCAACTCGAACTGATGTACGAACGTACGAAGTTTTACATTGTTGCTGACTGAATAACTGACTGTTAAATATATTTATATAAAGACACCTCAAATGTTATTCTAAACTTAATTAATTATAATGTAGCCGTAAATAAATCCCCAAAATAAATAGCTCTGTAAGTTTTCGACATTAGATGCTGACCACATTAGTTTTAATGGACTCACCTGGCTGAAGGCGCTCGGTCATGCATCCGCACCATATCACGAGTGGTAACTCCGTGCTCAATAACTCTTGCAATCGCTAGCCAGATTAGATCAGACGATCCTCGATATATTGATAGCCTATCTGTCTTTTGATTTCACTTGGTGGTGGGTACGATTCATATTAGAAGGTGTTACTGGTTAAAGTGTTGTCAAAACTCCGAATACCTGTGGCATCTTCAATAAACTTATAAATACTAGAAATTTTGTTTAAAATGGTTTTTTTTAAGAAAAGTTTTATTAGAATGGGTTTTGTGGAGATTTTCAGAAATTTCACAAGTTGAAATCATGAGTCAATTGAAGCTAGACAACCATGGAAAACCTGGAAGCACTGGACGGCCGTTTCGTCCTGGTATGCGACTCCTCAGCAGTATTGGTTGAAGTTAGACATTAACACCATTGGATGCCGGCTCAGTGGTCTAACGGTTAAACACTCGCGCGCGGAACCGGTAGGTCCTGGGTTAGAATCCCGCGAAGTTCGGGGTCGTGGATGCGCACTGCTGAGGAGTCCCATACCAGGACGAAACAGCCGTCCGCTGCTTTCAGGTTTTCCATGGTGGTCTAGCTTCAATTGACTCATGATTTCAACTTGTGAAAAAAGTTTTCATCTTACATTGGTTTAAACCATTTGCAAAAACAAACATGCCGTTGTCATATCAACCGTCTTTTATGATATGTGAATAATAATATTCTACTTATGATGATCATATTTCCATTTCCATAATTCCATAAAGCGTGAATATTGATTATCATAATTATAGACTAGTTTTATTCCATTCAATTAGCATTGTGTGTGTGTGTGTGTTTGACCGTATCCATGTTGTGGTCGTCTACGCTTTTTTCTCCTATCATTATCGCTTTTATATATTAAATTGTGAATGGAATATTTTTTCTTTAGTTGAATAATTAGTCATTCAAGTGTAACCCCCATTGGTTAATAAAATAAACCACACCCGTATATGTTTATGTCTGTATCCATAGATGAGTCATGTATTCACTCCATTTATGGCTCTAAACAATTTGTTAATCAATATATGGGGTTGTGGAGTTATTGTTGAGTTGAAATCGATATCATGAATAGATCAATAATGGACCATTATTGAAAACCTGGAAGTACTTGGATGACTGTTTCGTTTGAGATTGAAATTTCTGGGCTCGAGTCCTGAGTGTGCGAACATGTATGTATGTTGCTGTAGAGTCTTGTACTAGGACGAAACAGTCATCCAATGCTTCCAGGTTTTCAATGGTGGTCTAGCTTTAATTGACTCATGATGTCAACTATTAAATTACTTTTTGATTGAGATCATGAACCGATTGATGCTAGATTAGCATTATAAACCTGGAAATATTGGACGGCCGTCTCGTCCTATTCTGGGACTCCACAGCAGTGCGTATCCACGATCCTGCTCACAGGATTCGAACTCGGGGCCTTCAGTTTCGCGCGCGA